TCAAACCTGTGCCCGAGTACAGCTTTGTGTTCCCACAATGTCAATGTGGCCTCCATGTGTGGGCTTGAACCCACGTGTGAAATGCAGTACACACATAATCTTTATCCTCAAATTTATGTCAGCTTTCCAAGTCTGAGATTTTTTTTCCCACTCTCTGTTCTGTGAAACATCTAAAAAACTCCCAAGTGCTATAAAAATAATAACTATTCTTAGTTTATTTGGTACATACAGTTTAGGAATGTTGCCAGTATTCATGTACTCAGCTGCTTCTTATTCTCCACAAGATTACACTCTCCTTGTCCCCGTATTCCTAAATATTATTGCTGACCCACTTCTCCTGCGTCCTGAAGAAATGAAGCTTTTAAAGTGCCTCCTCAGAGTGGAACCGGACAGACATGGAAAACCAGCTGGAAAACGGCCAGAATGAAGGTGGTGGTAGATTGCTTTTCCAAAGGCTTGGCAGAAGATCCCTCAGGAAAGGTCTGGCAGGACTGTAATGCTCTGTGTCTGCTCCCTGGGTGCACTTTGCATCTCCAGCACTCGCTAATTTACATTTCAGTGGGAACTGCAGATGGGGAAATGAGATTTGTGGGGGCTTTCAACCCTCGTCCCTCTGCAGTAATGGAGATTACTAAATGTCGTTCAAATTAGCAGAAATAAGGATGAAGACATGAGTGCAAAATGAACTCTGACACGTCTCACACCACATAGCTGGAAGTTTAAGGCATGATGTATGATTTTATACAGAGTATCACCTCCAGGTTCAGTTATTGCAAGTCAGATGACTGAGATAAACGAGATAATGAATTTCACAGGAAAATGTTTTTCTTTTCAAAGGTCCCTTGTATTAGGAGTTCATGGAGGGAATCAAAGCAGCCACAGATACTTGCTTCATGTCCTACTTCAACTCAGGGGCAGCAGATCGTGACTTCCACTGAAAGGCAGCAGCTGAGAAGAACGGACTCCTATATAGGTTTGGAATTATCTAGATATATTTAGATTTAAATGGCATGAAGGAAGGTTTACTCAGCTCACTGTGGGGTTTTTTTGTGCTATCAGGATTAAAAATCACAGAATCACAGAATGGTTTGGGTTGGAAGGGATTTTAAAGATCATCGAGTTCCAACCCCCTGCCCTGGGCAGGGACACCTCCCACCAGACCAGGTTGCTCAAGACATGGTCGAAAAATAATTCTGAAATGAAGACCAGCTGTACCTTTCCACTTTCCTCAATATCCCACACATTTGTGAATGCGAGAATCAAAACTGTTCTCAAAATTGTTCCAGCTCTGTCTCTTCCCGAGAGCCTGCTTTGACACCTGCACTTTGTAGGAGCTTCAGAGTAATTCAAGTCAAAAGAGTAAAAGCTTTTGTCTTGGGACAGTGTTTAATTCTGTTGATGTTATCTCTAAAATTCTGACAGTGGGGAAAGCTGTGAAATGCTCTGAATGTAAACCTCTGGCTGGGGAAAAACCCAGAGTCCTGGGTGAAATGGAGTTTGTTATTGGGACACTCTGGTGTGACTTACACAACCTCCAAAGCCATTTTTGCAAGGGATAGAGTGACCTTGGCTAGGAGCTGTGTGTGTTGAGGAGGAGCCACAACAGTATGTGCAACCCACGCCTGCTGGCGTTAGTGCACAGCGGAGAGAGTGTACCCTGGAGGCTCCTTCCCTGATTAAACCGATACCTTAAAAATCCAGTGGCTTCTAGATTGTGTGTGGAGGATCAGGCTCCAAACAGCATTATCTCATAGGCTTTCAAGCTGTGTCAGAGAAGATATTTCCAGACCGCTCCAAACAGCATTATCTCATAGGCTTTCAAACTGTGTCTGGAGAAGATATTTCCAGACCATCAGCCGCCGCGCTGAGTGCCATCACTCAACAAATGGAAAAATCCTGTACTTACACCACAGTACTCTGCCCGCTTTCTGTGTTTTACAGCCTTTAAGGTATCTATTTTCTCTTGGGATCTGCAGCACGAGATCAGCTGATGATATCCCATAGCTCTCTTGCAGCTGGAGTGCTCTGTTTTCTCTACTATTTATCATCTCCTTTTGCTGCTCCCTGGCATGCCAGCCACATGTCTACCAAGGAACATTGCTCAGGACTGTCAGAGCTTTTAATGACACTTTAAACCCATTAATTTTCAACATGCTTTGCTATTTAGAATTTTTTTAAAGTCCTAAATACCCCAAGTGTGTGGATTGTTCCAGAGTCTGTGTGAACTCACCACGTCTTGGCAACCTTTCAGAGAACCCAGAGAAATAACGGGTGGGTCCCAACAACCCATAGACCAGAAAACATCTAATACACCTCAGTCAGACTGCTCCTTCCAGGTGAGAGATGAAGCCATTTTTATCCACTTTTTCAGTTCTGAATATAAGGTTCCATTTCTCTAGGATTTCCCCCCTGTGCCTGTTGCATATTGCTGTACAAATAATCTTTTATCATAATTAGAACCTTCTTTGTCTGAGGCTGCACTTTCATACTTCTGGTTTCACATATTCACAAGCCTTGGTTTTGTGTGTTCTTTGTTCCCTTAGCAGCAGCAGCAAAGTTCTCTTTAATCTTCCATGAAGATCTGGCACAACAATGAATCATTCTTACCGTGAAATCTTTAGAAACTACCCTCTGCCCCCCATAAATTTACATCTCTAACTCCAGTCTCCACCTCCTGTAAACATAGAAAATGGCCCATAAATCATTTTAACAATGTTTTTAATTTATCACAGTTCTTCTACTCAACTAAATATTTGGTCTTCAAGCCTCTAGAACTGTACAATAGAAATGGACTAGAAGGTGCAGCCTCATTTACTGGCAGTGGCTGCAGGATGGAGGGTGGTGGCCAGTTTCAACCTGTGCAAACACCTGAAAGCACAGAATTTCACGTGGTTTTACCCTCCACAGAGTTTTGGAGTACTTGTCTGCTGAGGGAGCTGCACAAAGTCAGAGGCTGCTCCACAAGCTTTGAAATCTTCAACTTCTCAGTGCAGTGTTTCTTTTTCCTAACTTTCTGGGTTACTTCCATGATGGAACTAGCTCTTTTGTGTGCATGGAAATACCAACAAAAGAGAGAAATGAACAAGCTGTCTGGATTCTCAGTGCTTAGGCTACATCAGTGTTGCTGTGGAGAAGTTTGAGATGCAAGATTTTTAGCCCAAAATATTATAAATTTACTTATAAAAATTGAGAATTACAAGAAAACTCATTGAAATACAGCTTGGGATTGTTCAAAATCTGTTCCAAAGTGTGTTTGAAAGGACACTTTAATGAAAGGTCCTGCATTCACGGTCAAGTAGTAGAAGGCAGGCAGGAAGCCCCCTGCTCTGTCTTCGTTGGTGTCTCTAAATCTATATGGAATAAGGGTGCAGAAGCATTGGCTAGAAGCTGTGTCCAGCGTGATGGGTGGAAGATCTCCATGAGCTCTGGCACTTCAGCCTTTCCTATCTTTTTTTTTTTTCCTCTTTTGCTTTATTTAAGAAATATATTAGAAGGCAGGAGTTACAAATGTTGTAATTTAATACTAGATATTAATGATGTGAGAGAATCAAATACAGTCAGCTGCAGTGAGTTGCCCTGATTCCATTTATTTAATATAATAACAGTAAGGTCAAACTAGAACATTAAAACCAGTATTTTGTAGTAGGGAGTAAATAGAAAAGTAGTTGGTAGTAAAAATCTTCTCCTTTTTAAGGAATTTTAGAGAGAGGCAGGAAAACATGTTGTCAGAAATAATCCTGCACTGTGAAGGAAATTCGCTGTGTAAGGTAATGGGGATTTTCCAGGAAAATCCCTATAATGACTCAGCTGTCACAGCGTTTTAACAAGTTGCTCGGAGTTACCTCACAAGCCAACGTGGAAAAAAAAAAAAGTTGTTTGCCTCCTTTGTTCTTTTTGCTGGTTGTTCAGCAGCGATTAACCAGTAACCACACTTTGGTCACTGGTTTGTGGTTCCCAAGGCAGACAGGAGCACTGAAGCCAGAAAAGCTTAACCTTTGTACCCAAGTTTACTCCAATGAAGTTGACCCTGTTTTCAGCAAGCGCCCTCCTGAAAGCAAAGTAATGCCTGCTTATAAATCTGTGCCAGACCTGAATTCCCAATGTTAAAGGCTTGGACTTTATATGGCTGATACCGAGCTCTGGTCCAGAGGAGAGGGAAGTCAGTGGAAAGCCTCCCGGTGACTTCTACGAGACACAAATCAAGCTCAGAATGAGCACTGAGCCTCCTGATTGTTTTTTTATGGCTCTTGTCCACGCAACCTGCAGAATTTCAAAATGAATGATGAATATTTGAGGGGTAATGGTTTTGAACCGAAGGAAGGGAGATTGAGATGAGATGTGGAGAAGAAATTCTTTGCTGTGAGGGTGGTGAGAGCCTGGCCCAGGTTGCCCAGAGAAGCTGTGGGTTTTAAATTATGTGTTAAACCGTGTTTGTCTAATAATAAAATAATGTGACTCAACACAAGACATCTGAGCAGTGTTGTGTGTGCCAAAGAGAACGATGGAAAAATAAGAGTCTTTTATCCTTGCTGCAGTCCCTAAAGGGGCTCCGGGGGAGATGGGGAAGGACTCTTGATCAGGGAGGGGAATCATAGGATGAGGGGGAAGGGTTTGACACTGAAAGAGGGGAGATTGAGATGAGATCTGTGGAAGAACTTGTTTGGTGTGAGGGTGGTGAGAGCCTGGCCCAGGTTGCCCAGAGAAGCTGTGGCTGCCCCATCCCTGGAGGGGTTCAAGGCCAGGCTGGATGGGGCTTGGAGCAACCTGGTGTGGTGGGAGGTGTCCCTGCCCAGGGCAGGGGGTGGCACTGGATGATCTTTAAGGTCCCGTCCAACCCGAACCATCCTGTGACATTCTACGAAGGCGGCACTGGTGGCCCCGCTGGAGCAGGCCGGGGAGCGGGCTGCCATGTCCCCCCCCTCTGCGGCCCCTCCATCCCGGTAGAACTACAGCCCCCGTCGGCCCCTGCGCGCCGCCCCCACCTTTCCCGCCTCTCGCCGGTCCCGCCCGCCTCCTGTCAGCCCGCCGCCGGACCCGGCTCGCCACAGAGGGGCTACCGCTGCGGGCAAGCGGGGTGCTGCGGGTCGGCGGCCAGCCTCGGGGGTGGCTCTGGCGTGGGTGGCCTCCGTCCTCCCGTCCAAGTGTTGTGAGGGGAGCGGGGTCCCCGCCGCTTCTCGTTGCCCGGTCCCGTCGCCGCGGCGGCTCATGAGGTGAAAGATGGTGATCCGCGTCTTCGTCGCCTCCTCCTCGGGCTCGGTGGCGGTGAGTCGGGGCTGAGCGGCGGGGAGAAGGGGAATAGAAGCCAAAGGGGTCGCCGCGACCGGGGCTGAGCCCCCGGGACCGGCGAAGAACCGGGGGAATGGGGCAAACTGCCCGGCGGTGTCGGTCGCCATCCCCGCGGTTGCCCTCAGGAACTCGCCACAGCTCGCCCCGCACGGGCACGGCCCCGAGGGTGCTGCCAAACGCGGCTCCCTTTACCCTCCGCAAAAAGGCTGCTAAAGAGTAACTTGTTCCTTAATTGCCTTTAGCAATCACACACACACATCTCCCCCCCCTCCCCGCCCCCTGAAATTTGTGGGCGACAACTATTGTGTGTGTTTAAAGGGGCTTAAAGGTGATTAAAGGGGGAGAAAACTCGGCGCCTGGGTGCGGGGGGAGGCCGAGCCGGGTCAGGTGCGGTGCCAAGTGCTAGGGGTTTAACAAAAAACCAAACAAATAACTAAAAGAAGAGCCCCCAGAGACAAAGTTGAGGCCGGCGGCACCTCCCTGCGATAACCGGTAACTCGGGAGGAGGTGCAGCTCCTTTCAAAGGGGGTTTTGAAAGGCGTCCCTCTGCTTAATTGAAGCTCTTATAGCTTTCTCCTGTTGAATTAATTATGCATGTGACCTGTGAATTTCTGTGTTTTCACAGAAAGTGGCAGCTCTGGTTTCCGTTAAGGCAGTTGAGCGTTCTACTGAATTTGCTCTTTAATGAGAAACGTCAGAAGGATTTAGATATAATCGCTATTCTTCATGCTCCAGCAGTGAAGGCAGCAGCATTTTGGGGTTGCGGAAGGAGGTAGCGCTGTATTTTCCCGACTGAGGGTTTACTGTGTGTTCCCTTCCTTCAGCCTTTTACTGGGCGATACTTGTTTTCAGTTCAGTGGCACGGTGACAGGTATGTGTTCTGATATGTTTTGGCATGAAGCCTTCAAAATGCTTAGTGGCTGCATTACAGCTAATAAGAACTAATTATCCGTTTCAGCAGCCAACTGAGTGAAGGCAGAGCATCTTCAGAACTCTGTAATCCATGTTCATCAAGCATCCGTGATAGAAACATCTCCTTCCCGGCGTGGGCAGTTGGTTCCTGCTGTGGTAGCTCAGCATTGTGAGGTTTAGTTTCTGTTTCATGCCTCACAGCCTGAACAATAACGCAGAGTTTTACAGTTTATTTTTGTTGAAGGCAGGGAAAAAGGGCCACCACGTAATTAGCTCCCCCGTTATCTCCTGTTCTGACCAGTCTGCAAATAGGTTATTGATGGGAGGTTTTGATTTTGCCCTCTCCTTCCCCTATCTCTGCCTGCAAGGTACATGTCCCATTAGCAGTAGCAATATAACCCTCTTTACTGTTTATTAACCCAAATCTGAGTTAGACAAGCAATTCAGCTTGCACATCAGTTCATTTGCTGACTTTTTTCTGGGTTGGACAAGAAAAAGATGACATAAAATACGAATAGCAGTTTGAATACTGGTGATGGTCAACTTCGCATAGACAGCAGTATATCTGAGTACAACCAAACAGCGAAGAGCAGATAATTTAGTGATTGAAAATACTGTTACACAGGGCCTGAGCCCTGCCATCTCTTTTCTGTCAGTTTTTCTTCATCTGTGTTATCGCAGGAACCTTCATTGTGGGCTGGGTTCCTGCTGTGCTCAGTGTCACATCACCCAGGCTTTTTTTCTGTGAGCTTTGCAGGGGGCAAAGCGATCCCAGCTAAGTGATGGAGAAAACGACAAAGAAAAATCTGTTACCAGCTGGTTATGTGGGAATCCCCATCTGGAGAAAAGGGTAGTTACTGTATTGCAGGTCTCTGAACAGGGAAGTTCTAAACTTATTTTCTTCCTCCTGGAACTAAACGTTAGTGAAAGGAAACAAAAAAGTGTTTGAGTCGTGTAATTCCTTGTCGTCTCCTCCAGACTTCAGCACAACTATGTCTGCTGCTTTTTGGTGTCCTGTGCAATTAATGAGACTGGATGATTTCCCTCTCTAGAGGAATTAGTACCTCTTAGAGATCCTGCTCTGTCTCCTGATAAAAACAGAATCCGTAGTTTAATTTCCCCCCCTAGGTCAGCTTGAGTCAAATCCTAGGGTAGCTGCTTGCTGTGGCTGAGATTACTGTCTGTCCTGCTGTCATTGACCAAAAACTTACATATGTAATATTTGCTGATAAACTAAAAGATAAAAACTAGAGTTATTTTGTTAAATTACTCTTTAAGATGAAAACTCCATCTAGTCTCTAGAGTAAGCTTTTGGTTCTGTTTGTTACCTCGCCGGCAGCGTGCTGTTAAAGCAGGGGCACTTCTCAGTCCTATTTCTTCTTTGTGCCTGGAATAAAACTGGTTTGAGTTTGCAGAGAGGGAGGGGTGAAGGCAGTGATTTGTTTAAATAAAAACAATATGCAGCAGTTTCCTTATGTTAACTGGTGGAAGAGATGATATTGCCAGGCAAATATAATGAGCTAATCTCTTTGTGCACGGCTCCTCTTGAAATCTTCAGAATACCCAGGCCAAATGATAGGCATTTGGCTGAAACACCCCTGAGAAATTATATTCTGGTTGTGTAGTCAGCAGATGCTCGAGTTTGCATAACTTTCCTGGAAACTTCTAAAATGTTTATTGATCCTGGTACTCGGTGTAATCTATTTTGTGCTAACGAGGATAAAAATATGTAATAGCCGTACACGATTCTGAGAGTTCAGCACATAAAATATTTTAGGGGTAATTCTGGAGAATGAGAAAGGGAAATAATTGGAGTGGATGAGATGGAGCCAAGAACAATGTGAACTTTGGTCTTGGACTTCTCCCTGCAGCATCTGCCTCACTCTGAAGTTCTGAGACCTCTGAGAGCTTGATGGTAGTAACTTTTTTGCTGTTTTTTTAAATAGAACTTATGAGTATAAATGCCTTAAAAGAGCTCAGATGTCCCAAAACACAGTTGTTGCTTGAGTGGAAAACATTCACCTTCAGTGTTCATGGAAGCTGGAGGGTGGGTTTACCCTGCAGGGATGCTGCAGGCAAGTTCCTGGGACCTTCTTGAGGGAAGGGAGGAGAGAGGCATTGTGTGTATGGGGACATTTCTGAATAACCTTGTGTTGTTTTAAGCGTGCCTTAGGCAGATCCCATTGTGTCACAATGCCTGAATAGGCAGGCAGGCGTGTTTCTACAAGCCTTACTGCCTCCTACTTTTTTCTGACCTGAATTTCCACTTGTTGGTAAGCTGTGTCTCGAATTCCCAGCCCTTCTGTGTGGGACTGGGGAGGCAGGCTTTGCTGCTCCTCCCTGATAAGGACAATCCATGGTCTTTTGTGCTTAGGAGAAAGGCTACTTTAAAATTAGCATTTACTTTTCTCCCTCTGCAGCGGTTTGCTGTTTTCGGCAAATAGGTAATGCCCTCATTTTTCATCAAATCATTCCAAGGTGACTGTAATTTAATCTGTTTCACGTTTTCCAGTCTATCAATAAAAATTTACACCGGTGCTACTGTACTGTGTATTGAGGCAGTTAAATGGTTTTCAGTGTTTTAAAGCAGCTCTACCTTTGATGGGAAGCTAAGTAGCTCTACCCCTGGAATTCCTCCAGTTATCTGGGAGTGCCACACCAGAGGAGACTTCAGTCAGAGGACTGAAGCTCAGGTGAGGGGGATGTCACTGAAGAGCTTTCAAATAATAGAGAAATTTCAAACCACTCTCTCATTTGTACTTTCTCTGTGCTAATCATTTATTGCCTTGGAGCTTTGTCTGTTAAGCTGAATGATAGGGAAATTACTGAAATAATGGAACAGCAGGTTGCCTTGGAGCTTTGTCTGTTAAGCTGAATTATAGGGAAATTACTGAAATAATGGAATGTCCTCTGACCAGTGAGAGATGCAAAACACTTCCATATCTCATGAATATACAAAAATTTCAAGGGGAAAAACTCGTGACTGAAATGAACTCCATTTAGTGTACAAGGACAAGCCCTGCTCAGCCACGGTCTCCAGGAGAACATGATTAGGACAGGAAGGTTTGGGGAGAACAGCAACAACCTGAAACGAATAGCCTTTTCAAAATGACCAAAACTTGGACTTTGACTTTTTCTACTGAAAAGAATTACGGATTTTTTTTACTAGGAAGCTTGATAAGATAGGGGCAGTTATAGCTAAATTGTTTCTATAGCAAATATTGGTTTTATGAGACAAAAGCTCTGATTTTGTTTAAGCACATTATGCTTAATCCAACAAGTTGGACTTTTTGTTTCCTGGAATGATTTTAAATTACAGTATAAAACACCAGAATGTCAGAATAGTTGCAGTCGTGTTTGTTTGGTTCACGTGTTGTTGGATAAGGTGATGAAGACAAACACAATGCTAACATTCTTGAGGCTAAGCTTGTCTCCTAGCGATAATGATGAATTTCAACTCCACCCTTGTTTGTACAGTCATTGTAACTCAACATTGCTCAGGAAGAATGTGCTTCCTGTTGAGAGGTGTGGAATAAATTAATTTAGAATGTGCCACTTCTAGAATATCCACCACCCAACAGTGGTTTTTTGTTTTTTTTTTTTGGTCTCTGCACCCCAAGAGCACAACAAAGTGATTTGGTTGAGTGACACAAGTGCCTTTTGTGAAAACTATATTAGTTATGGTGGTCATTTGGAGTGACTTACAACTCGGTGCATGTGATTTACAGAAGTTGAACTACTGATGATATAAAATATTAAGCTTTGCAAATTATAAATGTTAGCATGGTTTTTTAATTTCAGACGTTTGTAAAATCAGATCGTAGCAGCAGGTAAGTTAGTTTTTCAGAAATGAGAGGATAATCTTTACAATTAGAAGGGATCCCACAATATTTACATGTGAAATAGCAGTATTTTGAATGTCTAACCACATCTGTCGGAGTGTTGAGGGTACACCTGTTGGATCGGATCCTCAAAGCCTGGTGATTTATGAATCTCAGAAGAACTGAGTCGCTTCACTAGGTCAAGCTGGCAGTGCTTTTGGCTGGGCACCTCCAGAGTTGTGC